GATAGATAGATAGATAGATAGATAGATAGATAGATAGATAGATAGATAGATAGATAGATAGATAGATAGATAGATAGATAGATAGATAGATAGATAGATAGATAGATAGATAGATAGATAGATAGATTGTGTGATTGATTGATTTATTGATTGATTGATAGATTGACTGACTGACTGACTTACTTACTTACTGACTGACTGACTCACTGACTGACTGGCTGACTGAGTGACTGACTGACTGACGCACGAACGAACATACGGATGGACACTCGGATGGATGGACGGGCGGACGGACAGATGGATGGATGGACGGAGAGATGGTAGACAGAACGATTCCTTGAATATTTACGTTAAAGTTATCTTTTATTTCGTAAACTATGTTTATACGTGTATAAAAATTACTGTATGCATATATGTCCCGTATGAGCGCGTACACCATTGATCCGATTGCATTATAACTTTCATGAGTTTTTATGCAAACACCCGTAAATTTTTCTGAATTATTACACACGTTCAACAATATTCCATTTTGGGACCAAGTGTCAGATGAGAGTCTCCTGTATGGCCAAGTCTTTCACTTCATTCCGTTCGGAAGTACAGCAAACAGCAACAGTCACCAATGCAACAAACATCAACCGGTTTGTTGCAAACAAAAATTTATTTAACCACAATTCCCAAACTATGGTTGATACTTAATTCCTGAGCAGCAATCAAATCTTCTCAGCACAACACTTAGCAGTAGTAAATTCACAACAGTCAATGTAGCACATCTGCCGTCTCTCTTCTCTAACAACAACGAAAACTAACGCGTCACTTCCCACTACACAATTACGTCACAACACTCTCACACAAACGATACAGCTACACATAAAATCTTTAACTAAACATCTTTTCCCTATCAAACCTTGAAACAATAATCTACGCATAACAACAGTGATTCTCATACCCTTGACACCAAGGCCCTAAATTCTTTTTTTTTTTCTGTCATACTGTCATGAGCTAAATATAATTTCCGTTTGGTTTCCTATGCCAGATATCTGATTGCGCTACAATTTTGGTAAATTGTTGTGCGCAAGCCCACAAAGTTTTTTTTATTTTTTTATAGGAGCTATACGATACGCATAATTTCAAACAAAGCTATTGCATGGGTGAATGGAATTGAATAAAATACAAGTGACATTCAGTTTGTGTGACATAATAATTAGGTTTTTGAATTAGTACAATCATTTTACAATTTAGCGCGTAGGGCCGGGCAGCCTTATTTATTATATACAATAGTTGGATCAATCGCTACAAGTTTCTATACCAAATTTTTAAAATCCATGCTTCTCACGTTGACAGCAGTATGTGGCCTGCTCACGCGTCGAAAAACCTTCAAATTTATTGGTGTACACAGTAGACGGTAAAACAAAAAATATTTTCTATTTAAAAATTACTTTAAAAACGTAATTAAAACACAAACACTTTTTTCTTTGAGTGGCATGCAATGCATGCCGGGTTCACGCTATTAATTAAAAGAAAAAGCTCGCTATATATATATATATATATATGCAATATAGAGACACACTTGTTTTCGTTTTATGTTTATTTTATTTCACTTTAAATTTTGTAAGGAATGTTTGCAGAAAAAAAAACAAAAACCAATATGACAGTAAAAATAGGAATAGGAAGGCGTCGCTCTGGAAGCGTGGCTCCAATGGTTACCGATATGGAAATTCCCGATTTTATCTGTTGGTGTAAACATCAAATGAAAACAATAACTAAATTCAGACAACAAGTTATTTCCATATAACAACTTTATTCCTTTAAACATCTGAATGCATAGGAAGGTAAGTTAGAATTGAGTGAGATGTGTGTAAACAAACTTAACAAAGACATTTCACTCTTATCGAATTATTACTAAGAATATGCGTGGTACAAAATATAATACACCATCGTTCAATGTCGTTTTTTATGTATTGATGTGTCTTATGAATTATAATAATTGTGGAAAGTTTGTTCTGTAATTTCTAAACAATGTTAGAATTGAAAAGTAGAATTTCATTAAGATAAAATAAGTACGTATAACTTTATATTTTTATATATAATATTACACACAATATTTATTTTTATTTAGCTAAAATGTATACTTATGGCCTGCAAATGAATATGTACACTGTAATCAGAATATATGTCCGTTTATTTGGAACAAAAACAGAATCTGATCTTATCTTACACACGTATAGCTGCTTTCATAAAAGTATACTTTCATGGGCCTATTTGTAAGAAAGGTGTGACATCTATAGCTCTTTGTTTTAAGGTGTAATTGTAGATTTCCGAAATGGCCAGTACATTACCACAAGCTGAGCGATTCGTAAAAATTATCAACCAACAACTTGAGATACTCAAGGAAGAGAGGAATACTGTGATAGACGCTGTCGACCAGCGAATCAGTCAGGTTCTTATCTGTTAACAATTTAAATTAATGTTGAAAACTTTTGTGTTATAAAATGTTATTTCAAATATTTTTTTCAAAAGTAAATTTAAAAAAAGACTTAAATATGATTCATTTAGTAAGTATTTTTAACAATAATCTTGTATATAATGTGAAGGTACAAAGTGAAGTAAATGCCTGGATTAATGGTGGACTTGTCAATCACACAACCTATGCTGAGATAAACAACCGAATTCAGGAAATTTTAACTCTTTTTATTGACAAATCTGTTGAAATTTCAGGTAATTTTTTTGTTTATATCCACAAAATATTTGTTGCAGATTTTATTTATTGTACAATTATATAAATTTACTGTTAGCTACTCGCAAGCAAAGAAGACACATTAAATTGCTTATTTGACTTGGTCATCCTGAATTTGTGAGTTTTGTTTTTTGCTGGAACACACACTCTCTAATTGAAAGTTTTTTTTTCCTTTTGAGTCAAAGTGTTCGTTGTGATGGTTTTGATATTATTTGATTATTGTTCATTATAGGTGAGTCTAATCAGGATTTGTATATTGACATTTTCTTGACTATTGTAAAAGCTTGCAGTATTCTGAGATACCACTGACATATATTTTACATCATAAGAGTTTATGTTACATTAAAAGCCCCTTCCCAACCAACCATGAAAAAAAAGTTGGTAAAAAACGAAATTAAAATTAGAGAATTAATTAACTAAAATAATAAATACATACATAGATTTATTATTTTTAAAAATTAATCATTAATGTGTACGGCTGATAGTAGGGATGCTGAAATTTGCAGCTGTGGGCAGAAGGAAATGAAACTATTTATTTGGTCTGAAATTCTCAGATTACGTTTCTAGAATTGTGGCCCGCATTGTAGGTAGTGACGTACTATTTTGGTAACGCTAAATGAGGCATCAAAATATGTTCATATCTTTTCACGTGACATACCTGCCAAATAAATAAATTTGTCATACAATAAAAATAACGAGGTATCTTTATTTATGTTTAAGTAGGCGTCTTGGACTTATATTTACAGCTATAAAAAGGTTTAAAACTTCTGTATTTTGTCACCGGTTTTGTTGCTTAATTTTGCTCTGATATGTGTTTAATATATTTTAATTCTTAACCTATTTTGAAAGTTTCAGTCTACCCACATTGTCTCAAAATGCTGATTGGTGATTTTGCTCAGAAATGGCTATCCTGTTTCGTTAGTTTCAGCAGGCATTCCATTTCACTGTCCTGAAATCGTCTTTATATAATAAAAGAATTCAATTTTTTTGTTTCCGTTTGAAGAATTACATAAAGTTTAAAAAAGGTATCAGCTCATTATGTAAGGTTTTGATCTTGCAAAGACGCAAATCTTGATGTTGTCATCAATAGTCCATAATTGTATGTTTTACGCTATATTGACTGTTTATCTTATGTGTTGCTTGGTGTGTTGCTGGGATGTCTGGACTATCATTCATAAATTATATAACAACAATGGTTTAAGGAATAGTTGGTGAATAAACTTATAGAGTGCAACAAACTGGTTGGTGTTTGGTGTATTGGTATCAGTTGCTATCAGTTACACTGGCCCGTGATGGGATGAAGTGGGAGATAATACCAACACAAGCAAACATATTTCATCAAGGGTAGATGAGCTCAAGACAGCATGTTCTGCATCTCGTCACTGATCATTTTCCTGTCCGAAATTGTATAGAGTCGACCCGTCGGCTGTGTGAAGTATCTTGGCCCATCTGTTCGAGGCTGTGTGTCGCTCATCCGAAGCTGTCTGAAGTGCTCGTCGGAGGCTGTGTGTCTCCGGTCCCAGCAGAAGCGCCTGTCCCACGCTACGACCCGCTGATTGGGGTATTCCATTAAGCCTTACAACACCTATTGATGTACACCACTGCTGACATTACCCGTTGAGCCTGTACACCGCTATTGCTGTACCAGGCGGTGGCTTTTCACTGATGTTTCATTACACAACTGTTTGCAATATCCCGCCACAGTGTGTCCCACTCATCAATGTGTTTCGCTGGTTGCTGTACACCGCTGTTTGCTGTGTCCCGTGGTCCGTTTCACGAGACAGGTCAACCGCAGCCAATGCATCGCCTTGTGTATGTGCCAAAAAGATGGAGCACATTTTACTGGCTCAGCAATCGCATTGCAAAAGAAATTTTAAAAAAGATCCCTTACATGCATAAAATTATATATATCCTTGTAGGAAAGTGAAGGCACTAATTACCTCTTTATATAAATCAAACCGAATTCGCAAATGAGCTTTCATGATTTACAAAATTTTTGCGTTAAATGTTTTGTAAATTTTAGAATAAACATAACTTACTTGTATCACTTGTGTGATTTTTTTTTTTTTTTGGATTAAGCCTGAATAATTCCTAACACTTTGTGTTTTTTGAAAAATATAACCATGTTGGCACTTCTGACCCTTCTGGCCCATTGAGTCCCTTCAGACACATCTGTGTCAAATTGTAGCTCTTGGTGTCCTGTTGTCACCCACCCTTCGAAGCCAGACGCTCATCCATGTGACACCCTAGTCTCTACTTCATCACACAAACCAGTGTAACCGACGTAAGCACAGGCAACCTGAATATGTTGATACGAGTTCAATGCTATAATTTAGTATGCCTCGTCCAACCTGACAGATCAATGTACTTCAAAAATACAACTCGTAAACTATAGATCAACGTTCCACTTCAACAATCTATCTAGCTGAATCTTCACACACAGTTCAAGCTACGCCTTGAATATCACACAAAGGCCATCTATACCTTCTGCCACAACTCAAACTTACGCGTCATTTCCCCTTACACAAATACGTCACAACACTCTCACTCCATCGATGCAGCCACACATAAAATCTCTAAACAAAACCTGTTTTCCATCCCAAACATAACAACAGTGATCTACACATAACAACAGTAATCTCATGCCCTTGACAATCTGGCCCTTTGAGGTCCTTCAGACACCTCTGGCCCATGGAGGCAATTCAGACACCTCTGGCTTATGGACGCCCTTCAGACACCTTCGGCGTGGCCCATGGATGCTCTTCAGACACTTCTGCCCCATGGAGACCTTTTAGACATCTCTTGCCCATGGAGGCACTTCATACACCTCTGGCACATAGTTCTAATCCTTTTCCTTCCTTCGGCTATTTTTTCGATGGCTACAGACACTCACTGTAACAGGATCCCCATTTATGACATTGTGACATTTTCTTATGCTGGATGTTACTGAGAAATTTGTATAAAGAACCTATTGGTCTCTATCATAAACATTTGAGCAATATTAAGTGTTATAAATTGCATAAGTACTTTGATGGGATACCGATGCCTTGAGGCATATTTATAGGACCTATATTTTCTGAGGGGTCATCTGTATCCAGTTGAGGACCCCCAATATCAAACCAAGGGTTTTGAACATTATCATCTACATAATCATTTTGATCGTCTTGATAACTTTCCTTGTTGTTTTCATCAGTGTCAGATTCACTGCTAGAATATCAAAACCACTAAGGATAGTTTGTACAGTGTCACTGTCAGACATTTTGGAATTTTACAATATTGCTTGCAACACCCATACAAAATCCTGAACACAGCTAAAACTAGTAAACAATAAACGGAGGCCGCCATTAAAATTCAACAATGAGCATAAAAATGTGAGACACAGTCTGATTAGCTGGTACTAGGACCAGCTAACCAATCTCGAGGCTTAAATAATCGAGCCGATAGACCGACCATACGTGTTTTCGCTACTTTACATTGGGCCGATAGATCAGCCCATCAATTCCAAGAGGGTTAAACCTAAGACATTGGATCTCATTTTACCCATTTGATCGCAGTACAACTTTTAAATAGAACAGAAGCTACCACAACGTTTCAGAAATAAAGAAAAATGCAAACAATTTAAAAGTTAGCTAGCTAAATTGATTATGTTAAGGAATTACATTTTCAAAAAAAAAATCATAAACTTGTCGTTTTCGACATTTCTTTTATAATGCCTCATTAATTACCATAAATGGAGTAAAAAAATTGTATTTATTGCAATCAATGTTTTAATGTTTTTATTTAATCTGACATCACCAGGCAAAAATGTTACTGTAAAACAAAATGATTTAAACCAAACCTTTTTGACAACTACCAATAATTTGAAAATCCTGGAGCAATTTAAAAAATCGATGAAACCGAAAATGAATATTTTCATGGACGCTATGAAACCGTACATAATTTAGGTAAAACAAATTCCTTCAAAGTGTGAGTTTTATGTTAATATCCTAGTTATATAGAGCTTGTTTACATAATTTTTCGCGTGCGTGCACTCTGATTGACCCATCATGAGACGCTGTGTTCACAGATGGGTGTTGCTTAGTCTTTTGATCTGTCGTGTTGATGCGGCCAGCCACTAAAAATAATTAATCTATTCCAAATAGTATTTTGTAGAATGATTGTGATTGTTCTAGAAATGCTATGTAGCTTCTCGAAGGCATGACTAAGGCATCGGTAGACCCACCTATATAAATAATTGACAGACTCGGAAAGAGACGGGAGATTCAGATAGATATTATTAACTTTACGAGGCGTGTATTATTCCTTGTGTATTTGTGTGCTCATACTTATATGTGTTTATTTTCGCATTCATCATTATTCATTAGCACATTATTCTAACTGTATTAACTGTGTACCGGTACAAGATCTACCATACTGTAAGTTGAAGAGTGTCATTATATTTTATTTTATTTTGTAATTATCTTAAGACATAATAAATATTATTAATTGTAACTAGAAACTGCTTTGGGTGTCGTATCTTTAATATTGTTGACTCTATGGTATCGTCCTTTGTTAGGCGCTGTTTACAACGAGCCAATTAAGATTAAAAGGAGATTAATTTCTCCCAATACAAGTCAGTGCGTAACAATCCGATATTTACAGATTGTGATATAAATAGTTCAAATAAAATTTTTAATTTATACTTTAAAAAAAAATCACACCGAAATATCAAACACAATTTATTTTAGAGACCATTGATGCCACAATATAATGGAATGGCGAATACTGTTGTTGAGAATCAAATAATATTTTCCAATATATTACAACACATGATAAGTATAAAGACGGTGTTGGGGTTAAGCTTTAACCGCTTCCAATTTATTTCTCTCATTGCAATTACTTCCGCTTTCATGACATTTTATGATATCAATTTTCGACGACAGGTGTAGATGTAGGATCCGATGCTTCTCATAACATGACGATGAGATTTGCCAAACTAGAGGAAGCTGTAGACTCACTCAAAAAGAAAACAGAAAACGTTAAGGACAAAATTGAAAATGTGGATAAGATATTAAAAAATGTCTCGACTCAACAAGAAAAGGATCATAACAAATTAGAAATTCTAACAAATGCAAAATTGAAGTCGGAGAACAAGCTAAAGAATAAAATTACGGATCTGGAGAAAGAATATCAAGACATTAAATTAAATATTGATGATCTTGTTGGAACTGTAACAAATGTTGATGTCAAGTTAAACAGATTAGAAAATGAAAATAATTCCTTCAATATCTCAATGAATGAACTAAACCAACAGATCAGCTCTGTTAGAACTTGTAGCAATGACGTCCTTATGTCTATACAAGATTTGTCAAAGAGCGTCGAGAGTACAAATCAACATTATAATGAAATGTCGAATAAAATGAATCAACTGAAAATCTCCATGAATCTCATGTCATCTCAGTGCACAGAGCAGTTTGAAAATATGAGCAGTCTAAATAAAGATAAAACAGACGATTTGGTAAGCTTTGAAATAAATCATTTCAATTTGTATGTGTGTTATAATATAAAATTTCATAAAGTATTATATTTGTTATTTAATTTCTAATTAGAAGACTCTGGTGCTAAAAAGTAATTAAGTCACATTTTTAACAAAATAAATCTAAACGTTGAACTTTTCTAATCCTTTTTTGCCAAGTATACTATATACATTTGAAGACATTAAAATGTACCTAAGTTCCTTATTTAAGCAATGCAAACAATGAAAATGATCAGATTTCATAGACTTAAAGACTATTTCAAGTTGAATATCTCAAAATGCGTATTTTCTGAGTTAAGTAAATACGTTTTCATCTTAAATAAAATTATTTTGTTCAGAAAAGTTTTGAAATGTGTTGAAAATGGCCAGTAAAATTAACATCATAACTCAAATGTTAAGATTTCAATGCACCTCAAAGTAAAGGTTTAAAAGACTGTGCTAAAAAATTTAGATAATTTCTTAGCAAATTTCAAAAGAAATCATTAATACTACTTAATAATGTTTGTGCGGCCAAAGTGCTCATTTATCATGGACCACGCTAACATGTTAGAAACCATCTACATCTGCAATGCTAAACCATTAAATATTAATTTTTTAAACACATCATTCGTTCGCTCCCTTGATTTTCCAACTTCAAGTCCACCTGTAACAAGAGACCATGAACTCTCATGGTCTATCGGTGGATGAGTAGTTACGTGCAGCTGAGTCTTCAGGAGAACTAACGTTGCCTTACGTTATTTGTAAAACTAAATAAAAGGAAAAAAAAAAGTGCGTTAGGAGGGGTTAGTTGGTTAATAGTTTGCTTCGCTTTCTATAATAGGGCAAAAATGAATATGGTTTATTTTAAATGTGTGTAATACGAAAGCCAATCAAGTACTTCTTTTTGTTAATCCTTCAAAATTAGACCCAAAAATTGTACTTAGAAATATTTTGAAAGATTGCATTACACTTTATGTGATTCCAAAGATGATCTCTATTTAATTCACGATAAAACACTTTTATGCCCCTGAATGTGCAATCAGTTAACTTGAATTAGTTAGTGTAAAATATATTTAAATAATTTGTTTCAACAAAAGATCTTTTATTTGTTAAGCTCTATCCATGATGATATTTGCATGTTACACAGATTGGTATGGTTTGTCAACTGTTAGCTAAGAGACTGACTCCATTGGAATATTTAAATGAGACATTAAACAAGAAAGTCAACGTTATCGAAAAAGAACGTTTTGAGGTATTGTGTTATACTCAAATGTTATTAGAAATATTAAAAGCAGCTCTCAGAGTTATTGCGTTATACTCAAATGCTGTTAAAAATATGAAAACAATCTTTTTATAAATATTTATTTTTACTACATTTTAATATAAATTCATGTTCTAAAAAAAAATATGTAGTAATACTTTTAACTTGTTACATTTTTGTGTGATCTTCCTTGTTCGTATTAGTTTTAGTACAAGTTATATGTCTTTTATGATCTCAAAAAATGCAATTTGTAAACTATTACTAAAATAGTGTTCTTCACATATTATTTCTCTTATACTCAAAACGGCTTTAAATAAATACATTCTTAAATGTATAACGTCTCACGTCACATAAGATGATTTAGGAAATAGTAATTCAACATGGCCCACTATATATCCATGGACTTTCTCAGACAATATAACTACATCACATAACACTTAACATCCAACACAATGTTACACTCGTTACAGACATTAATCACTTGTATTTTCCGACCTCACTTGGGCGGGTAAGATTGAATAAGTATTATATCAATGTCCAATAATGTGTTTCCACTCATTCATTTACAGAAAAATTATATTGAGGACCGTGTAGCTGAAATAACTAACAAAATTACAGAAATCGGTAAGATTTTGTAATTAGCAAAAATCAAATGGAAAAAAAATACACTAAACTTTAATAAACGATTTTAGTTCATATTTGTAATGAAAATCTGATTCTATGTTTTAAAACATTTATTTGTAAGTATCAACATATTCAAATGCACAGTGTAGCATTTAGCTGAAACTATTGTTTGCAGTTGTGTGAGTGGGTATGTGTGTAATAGTGTGAGTAAACGTGCATTTGTTTAAGCGTGCGTTCGTTTTTTTGTGAGAGTATTTATAAAATCATTATTATTTTTAATTCAATGCCTGATTTTCAAAATAAAATTTGAATACAATTTCATATAACTTTGCTCTAATAGTTACATTACCTTTACATATATTTAAGGATAATATATGTTTTTAAAAATAACAAATATTGTTATATTTTCTAGCCCAATAGAGTTATGAAAATGTGTATTTTGTCTGAATTAATATCTATTTAAAAGAAACATGTGATTCGTTTATTATTTGGCCAGTGTACCGAGAAGTTCAAGAATTTTGTGAGATAAATGTTTATAAAGGTTGGGTTAAGAGAGGATCCACTATAAAAATGTTATGACTGAGTTTAGAAGTGTAGCAGTAAGATGAGAGGGCAGAATGATAGTGTTACGGGAAGACAAAGTCATGTGGAAGTGTAATTGAAAGAAAGCGAGAAGGGATATAATTTATGTTCATTGAGATTAACAAATATCATCAATGCAAAAAAAAAAAATGAATTAAAAAGAATCAAAGGAAGCAAATAGAACATTAAAAGGAAATTGATCTTTCACTCCTAGTTTCTCCTTTAAATTCTAGTTAGTAATTAAATATTTTATGTGCTTTCACTTGAATCCCTTGGCTTTTTTAGAAGACACGGAAATTATAAATATTTTAGATGATATAGTGTCGCTGATGATTATTAAATCAAAAATAGTTTTGTGATTTATATATTTCTTTTAAAGTTAATTAAAATACATCATCACTTCCATTAGCGATGGAAAAAAGTTAGGGTTACGCAAACTTTCGTAATATCTAATCTGATCAATAAAAATGTGAAAACAATGGAAAAAAAAATATTTTAAAAAAAAAATAGATACCTTTTTAATATGAACTATGTGCTTGCTTTGATTCTCACATCCTAGTGATGCCACTATGTGAATTTATAAAATTTATGCTTTTAATATTATCTTTTTTGTATTTTTCACAGAACTTAAGTGCAATCCACCAAAGGTCGGTTTCTTTGCCTGTAAAAAATATGTTCTTCAAAGCGAGGGATTATGTACTATAACATCGTATAATAAAGTCTGCGCTTATTATGGAGATCACTTTGATCAATCCACTGGCATATTCACAGCTCCTCTAAATGGCTTGTACTTAATAACCATTATGACAGGAAGCTCGTCTAAAACTATAACAAATACAATCAATGGTTATCGGATTCGTAACGATACCTCAATTCAAAGTATCTTTTGTCATCCTGTTTCTATAAACCAAACAATAACGCGGTGTGCTAAAATTGCAGCCGGTGACAAATTATATTTGAATTGTCAGACAACTGATAAACATGAAAATGATAATATTACTATTACCTTTGCATGTTACTTAATACAAAAGTTTTAGTCTTCTGCAGTGTAATAAGAATATTAAAACAACATAACCTGCACTTTGTAAATTAATTTTTAACAGTGTTAATGAAATGAAATGAAATGACGTCAAACAACGAACACATTCTTTAGCACGATGTTTAAATCAATGTTAAAAATTCTAGCTGTTCATTTGTTTAATACGCTTTACCATTAATTCCCAGCCTGTATAACATCCAAGATTTCAACTACAAAATATATTATAGCCTCCACCACCGATAACCCCTTTAAAACTCAAATAACATTTAGAAACTAATTAATAATTGTTTTGAGTTGCAGTCGAAGTGTTGAAATTGCCTAGGTATATTACTGAAAAATTTGACCTCATGTAGAGAGATGAACTGTAAAACTGGTCAAACAGCTATAAAGGATTTCATTTTTGCAGAAGACTTAATAGGTCTTATTTCATTAGTAGGCTATATGAGACATAGAAAAAAAACAATTGGACAAACGTTTTCATTTTAAGCATGATATGACTACCAGACGTTATGGAGCCGCGAGTGTTAACATTGTTTTGTTGTGTTTTTTTTGTGGCGATTAGGTTATTGGTTTTAGTGATCTTTTGTTAAAGATTTTATTTCAATACATTCTCAACATTTTTCACTAAGAAATGTCAGTAAGTCATATTGCTTTGTAGCATTACAAAAAAAGGTAATTAAAATAAATTGTATAACCGTTTAGTACCGCATATATTGAAATGTACAAATGCGGTAGTTATTTTAACGGTAGAGCTTATATTTAGGCGTATCACTTGTGGCCGGACTGCGACAATGCGATCTGCAAACATGTTAATTGATATGTAACCCATACTACTAGCCTGAAATGACAAAGCCAATTCCGTTTTTATATCTAGAAACGAAAAATATTTCTTTAGAAAAAAATATTCAGTTCACACTTCACATCGATTGTAATTAGCCGATTATGAACAATCGCTTGCTGTACAAAGTTTATGCATATGTTATTTTTACATCTATGAATTGTATTTATCAACTTTCAAGTATTTTATTTATTCAGAAATAACACACTTTTCTGAATCAAAGAAAAACATTGAAAAAACAATTTGAAAAATAAAATCAACACATTGTAATTGATATTTAACCTGATAACCGGAAAAATGATTATCATAATATAGCATCATTAGTTACGTTATAATACATTTTATGGGACATTTTATCCTTAGCTAGAGTTATAACATTCTACTTTCTACCTGCATCAAATTTTAGTGACATGTAAATAGTTCTAGAATGGGTAGAGTGATTATACATTCATTTTGTTTTATTTAATTAATGTATATAATTTTTTTTTAAAATCATGATTATATTTGTTAAATTCTATGTACAGCGTGGTGACCCAAGCACTAGGCTGGAGTACCACGCTGTATAAAACCACTAATAAAAATTATAATAGTAATATGTCATGCCAAATATTAAAATAGATTACTTAATATATTTTTTTTTTTATTTCTGTAAAATGTAGACCCTTTAAATTAAAAAAAAATCAATTTCACTATAACTATTAATGTTGATTTCATTATTTAAATAATTTTTGTTTTAGTTTTAATTTCCTTATTGAGTTCTGTTTTCACATGAATCAATATAAATACATGTAAATTTATAATCAAAGTCGTTATGAGTGGGGGTTTTTTTTCCGTTCTTTTTACAATAATGTGTATTACAGATATGCCCGTTATAGCTAGCTACCCTTTATTAAGTGAGTCTGATAAATCTACTAAAAATATTTACGCTTCATTAGGTGAGTCTGAATACCTACTTATCACAGCTAATCTTGACTAAGTGAGTCTGTTAAAGCTAGCTGTTATATATAATTTATAAATAGCATTTTTCTATCATTAAAAGTTACACTTTGTTACGCACAGCTATCAGTAGGGAGGTTTTAATCTCACATTTAAGGATATGGCTCGTTTCCAAAACAGTGCATACAAAAACGATGAAAAATGATACAAATAATAACAGAGAAATGTGATACTCGAAATAGGGCTAATTACTATAAATACGTTTTATTGAGTTACTAATAAATAACAAAATAAAAGACATATACTTAAAATCATTAACTTACAGAGTACTGTTTTTCTTGTACCGTTACTCAGTGTATGATAGTAAAATGTGCAAAAAGTACAACGATGAATAGGAATTCACATATTAAGAAATCAAAACCCTAGGAAGAATTACACACTCTAAAAGTAACTCTCGCCTGTCGTCCCGTAAAGTAAAAATATCTCGTGATAAAATTCTAGCCCCTGCTTTATCTGTCCTCCAACCCCTCGTCTTTATATACCAGTATAGTCTGTTTTTCTATACATTCCAGAAATCTACGCATTTTACTCGCTTCCAGCTGCTTCTGCAGTTTTCTACAATATTGGAATCATAAAACAGATCATGGGTTTGTTAATTGTAGCCGAGGTCAACTAATAATAGCTCAGTGCTGCCAAATTGGGTCAGACAGAGTTCACAGCACGAGGAAATATGACGTAAACACGTGGTCTACATAACCGCCTTAATTAACTCCATAAATCCATGTGTTATAGCTACCCTTCATTACATGCACACAATCAGTAAATGCATTCATATCTACTAAACAAAGGGTGGCCAGGCCAAATGGATCTACACGTCTATTTAAACTCGTGTCAACTCTTCACGTGTCACATTTCATTACCACCAATAAATGAGATATGATAACATAAATTTAGATAAGATACTTTATAAATCCAAATTAACTGATTTTAAAGCACATAAATAAACCAGTATGTAAAAAAAAGACAACAATTTGAAAACAATAATAATTTAATGAAATAAATAATTCCTCCAATGTAGAAATCAGACATAAATGAACATAATGATTTATTTAGTTATCATTTAGATTTGGTAGCTTCTGGGGAAACACGCTGGTAAATTGGTATATACTAGGGAACAAAGGATTTTTATATCCTTCGGTCCTAACTTAAAGATAAAAAGTCTAGTAGGATTCCAATTGTTGCACTGTAGAATATACAAGAATTTTAAATTAGAAATATTTCTAATTTAAATATTACTATATAGTTCACTCTAAATTAAAAATACAATTGATTCATGCTTTGCTTAGCGATTGTAAACGTGTTGAAAATTATTTCAAAAAGGGTAAATAATTTATTAGTTAGCGTTTTAATTTTTTTTTTCTTTTTAAATTTTAATAATAGAATAAATAAATAAATTTATATATATATATATATATATATATATATATATATATATATATATATATATAACGAGAGAGAGAGAGAGAGAGAGAGAGATATTGTGCCTCTATTAAAAATATAATGTTAACATTGAAAAATACATTTTTTTGTTAAACAACTGGAGTTCTCCAACATCCAGGTGTTTCCTCTCTGCCGAAGATCCCTATACTACACCAACAAGCCAGTTGAATATTATTTGAATCTAGAAGCGAACTTGGTTATACATGTATAGCTTATTTTTTTACCCCTAAGAGTCAAGAGACACAAAGACTAAACATCGGGAAATAATTGCATACAAAATGGGAAGTTGCTCTTGTTTTAATTAACAACAATAAATACAAAATGACTAGATTTAATAAAAACAAATATATTACATACATGCATACGTTAATTAATTTATTAACTTTTTAAAAATAACATTGCTCTACATTACTTAATTTTAAGACTAAACATTAGATTTTAGATTTAAAAGAAGACATATTCATGATATAATCTGTATTATTACCTATTAATAACGTTGTTAAGAAGGATTTAAAAATATTATTTTACAAAATACAAGTGACGCTTGATCACAAAGAGGTATGATCGACTCTTCTGATCAAGATTAACTTAACTTACTATATAATTACATGTGAGACATTTTTTTAGTATGTGCGGAAATAAATTCGCCCTTTCCAAACATAGCTGTAAATGTTTGTGTTTTGGCTCTTTGCTATGTGATAGGGACGTTTATTCATTGAGTTGGTATGATGGTGACTTGGGAGATTTAAATAGTAATGCAAATCTACTGTTTCAGATAGTTTTGTAAGGAGCAATAGGTAAATATGACTGAAAACATGTGTTAGATTCGTTAATGGTGTACGACCGACACATTTAGGCGATTGCTTTCAATTTTCTTTAAGGAGGATAAGCTAGTTTCAAATAAAGCTAATCCCTCATCTCCATGCATCTGATAACCCAATGAAATATTAAGTGTGGGCTTGTGTACATGAACTTAAACCTATATCACATTATTTCAACATTAAGTCTAATTTTTTAAAATTGTTATTTTTATTGTGTCGAAAATATTAAAACAACATAACCTGCATAATAGCCGATTGTTGATAAACACTGATGGAGAGAAAAAAAAAAGAATATATTGTAATGGAGTTCTTATGATCGTTTTAGTCTTAACATGTTTGAAGATTACATTGAGACAACGAAACATTAATAGAAAAAGATGGAATGACAATTAGATGGTGCAAAAGAGAAAAAGAGATAGAGAATGATAAGGAGAGAGCGATAAGGAGAGAGAGAGCGAGAGAGAGAGAGAGAGAGAGAGAGAGAGAGAGAGAGAGAGAGAGAGAGAGAGAGAGAGAGAGAGAGAGAGAGAGAGAGTGTGAATAGATATAGTATATATATTTGTAATTGTTCGCTTTTGTTTTTATGAAAATAAATTAAGTTGGACGATTGGTTACGTCAAATGAAAAGTACGGCAATTGTAAAACTGAAATTGAAGGCAAAATGAAAATAACCGGTTTAGATCTCAGGAATTTCCTGATTTTATTTGTACTTTAGTGTACTTCTGATTGTCTGCTTCAGTGAACTTTGTCACACACATGTTTGTTTTAAGATTTTCATTCAATTCATTTCCAATTTTAATCGATTTCATTTTACATAATAATGGGGTTTTATATTCTCTTTAAAATTTCCACTTGTTAAAATTATCTTTTTACGTAACAATTATAGGTTATATTTCTAAAATAATCGTTCATTTTCAATTACCGCCATGTGACACTCAATTTATCCTTCGTCATTTCTACATCAGTTTGACAAGACTTAAATTAACGTATCCGTATAATTTGTATGTACGATACTTTTTTTCTTTTCTTTTCTTTTCCTTGTTTTTTTTTTTTTTTTTTTTTTTTTTTTTTTTTTTTTTTTTTTTTTTTTTTTTTTTTTTTTTTTTTTTTTTTTTTTTTTTTTTTTTTTTTTTTTTTTTTTTTTTTTGAAGCAATATATTTTGATTGTCAAGCTCTCTAAAAAAAATCCCGTTTCCTTAAATCTTTAGTTAAAATCAGGTTAGCACTAAAATTTATGTAAAAATTTAAGATATATGTTTTATTAAAAGTTGTATATTTTCTAAATTATTTAATGTTTTTTTTTTTAAATTAATGTATTAAAAATAATGTTGTGAAAAGAATGAAGAGTTTGAATGATTGACATTATGTGATATTATTTCATTTAATGTTATAACTATAACTAATGTCTTTCAAAACAATTAGTTTAGTGAATATAAAAAAAAGCAAACTTTTATGTGTGAGTTTATTTTTCTGTATTCATGTTGTGTGGCCTTATTGTATAAATCTTAGTGTATTTATGTGTTTGTGTTTACATAATTTTGTATGTCTTTTCATCAGAGTTTTAAAAAGTTTATAATAATGTATATTTTGATTGTGTAAATGTTTAATTGCATGTACATAATAAAATGTTTTTAACAAGTTAATAATCCAAAATATTTTAATTATTACTGCATCTGATATACTTTAAAGATTTCCAAAAATGACGAGCCAGGCGCTTCAAGCTCAGAGATTTGTACAAATTATCAATCAACAACTTGATGTTCTAAAGGAAGAGAGGAATAATGTGACAGTGGCTGTAGACAAATGTATCAATCAGGTTGGTTGTACCAATAAATTCATTTTTTATATTCCTACAATTGTACATAAATTGAGTATTAAATCAGATCATAAATAAAACATGTATGCTAAACAGTTTGTATTTACAACTAGGTATTAAATGTGTATGTATATATATATATATATATATATATATAATATGTAATAATTCTCAGTTAGTTTTCTTTAAAGTCGAACTCGCATAAACTAATTAAAACTAGTCTATTTCATTGTCCACTTCAATCTCGTGCAGGTACAAAGTGAAGTAGATAATTGGGTTATTGGAGGACTTGTCAATCAAACAACCTGGGCCGAGATGAGTAATAGGATTCAGCAAATGATAACTTTGTTCATTGAAAAGTCTGTTGAACTTTCAGGTACTTTATTGTAAGAACAATTTAATGTTCATAAATGTTTTGTAAATTGTAAATGTTGATAGACAGAATAATTGGTTCTCCTATTACTTGCATTGGCCATAATTTTAATTTTTTTAAAGTTACAAACACTCCATTATTCCATTATATACAATAATGGATATAATTGCTAAGTTTGTTAAAATCCAAAATATAAATAAACTTATGCTGAAGAAAGATTAAATATTTATATATACATATATGTATATATATATATATATAAATATATATA